GTTGAAGTAACGAGCATAGCAGTATGAAACAACGCTAGACTAGAACCGAATATTCAGCTTTAGCAACGAACATACTTATATTAAAAGACTAACAAACAAATACACAGAAAAACGACAAAGAAACATGCGTAGATTGGAACTGAGAGCTGAAGCGCAGTGCTCCGCCGCGACCGGCCTGCTTCATTTCGAATTCGAACTCGCCACCGGGCAACTAGTGGGGTGAGGACGACTACAAGTGCTTCTCAGTGTCTTTTTCTCAGCTTACGTTCTTGCTAAGCATCAAGAATGAGATTTTCTAGAACAAAGATGAGCTTTGGTGGGGTCCGCGAAATGGGGGTCACTGCATATCACTATATTTCGCCAATAAAAAACAGAAGTAGTGGCGGTGAGTGTCCCCTAGCTTAAAGTACACCCTCGAGTGCACTCATGCTAAATTGCAATTCCCAATCAAACCGTTATTATGCCATTCGCGACGATCGTCAAACGAGTCCCATTACACGATGTCGATGGAAGCGACATCACTCAAGCAGAACTTCCTCAAAACAAAGTTCGAATTCGAATTGGAGAGAACATCGCATGCTAGTGTATCCTACTTTGATTATGATTGCTTCAATAAAGCCGTGTTTGAGGAAAAAACGAAGTAATCTGTTTTTGCCAAATGACATTTTTTGCAACCGGCTTCAAACGCTGTTGTGATTGTTCAGCTTCACATGAGTATTCAGCTTTACATGAATACCCACTTACCAGGTCACTGTCATTATATTCATGCATATGTCACAAAAATGTAGCCAGCCGGAAATGAACAGCAATGAATCTCACTTATAAGGGTAGGATACATGGTCGAAGCGGCGTTTCCGTATGAGATGTATACTGCCTTATAAAGCATGGAACGCTGATTCCAGATCAGCTTTCGGTATCTGCAAAGCACTTTTGGGAGGGGAGTTATGAGAATTTTTTGAGGCAAAAATTTGAACGCGCGGCTACAATAGAATCATTCACAAATTCACAACTGATGCTATGTGCTCAAATGGAGTCATGAACTTCCAGGACACCTTATGCAATCAGTACCTTTGTCTAACAAATACTACTCGTTACTTCTCTAAGCGTCGGAAAGTCCCCAACACCTCAGCCAAATCCTCAAATTTTTACCCCAAAAATTATCATAATCCGCTCCCAAAAGAAATGTTTGCAGTTATCGAAAGCAGATTTAGAATTAGCGTTCCATGCTTATAAGGCAGTATACGTCTCATACGGAAACGCCACTTCGACAAACCCTAGCTAGAAGCGAGCACATCAAACAATTAGCAGTGCGGTGCTCGACCCCAACACCGCAAGCATTCACTAACCCTAGGCTGAGTAGTCATAAGTGCAAGGACTTTGCTTCATAACCTTCCAAGCGACTGAAGAAAATCTTGAGTGACTACTTTTGTCCCTATGAAGCAAGCCTATCTTAAAATTCTTTTACAAGAATAACTTCATACTCCAAATACATAAAAGAGAGTGTAGCAATTCGAATAATAAAACGCGAAAAATAGTATTTCCACTCGTGGCTCTCATTCAGTGATTGACCAAAACGTCGTAACCAAAAAATCCTTTTCTTTCTTACAATAAGAGAATTTTAGGTCGCAATCATACGTACTTAGGACGTTCTTGAAAGTACGCATAGACAACTCATGGAGGCAGAGACTCGAAGCCGCTGCGACTGATTATGATAGTAGGGGTCTGGGAGAGACAGCAGACAACTGAGGACACGAAAGCGCGTTTACGAGAGACGTGACAGCGTCCGCAGCAACGACCTGTGTCTGCTTGCGTTGAATCGTTTATGCATACTAGTGATTGCGAGTAACATTCTCGCCTTAAGGCTATAGGCGGACCTACGAGTACTGTTCTGTAAAGGTAGCTTCAGCTCAGACTTACAAAACACAGCAAATCACTTTTTTGCATTGTGGAATTAGGCCTAAAAACTCCAAAGATCAAGCAACTTCTGACTCTAAATTTGAAAATTGCACTTTACAGTAGTGCTTCGTTACACGTTTTGCCGGATATTAAGTTAAAAATATCTCCAAATGTACCATGAAAATATGAACACGTTGTTCGAAAAACTACTGGATGCCTACTTGGGACGCCTGTATTCCATCTATACATATGTATATCATACTATTCATTATACCACTTGCTATCAACTTTACAGCTCTTTTTTTCACGATCATATTTTTTTCAAAATAAATGAAAAAAAATTTCCAAATCTCGGTGGCATATGAAAGCATTAGCTATGAACTACTTGCAACAGGAAAATTATCAGTATGCTGCATTCACATTAGGTTTGAATGCTCAACGAAGTAAAGCCAAGTCTAACAAGGAAAGGATACTTGGTGACCCCGGCCATGTGGTATGCGATGTATACCATGAGGTGCATCTCGGAACGCTGGTTATAAATCTGTGTTCCAAATCTGCGAAACGATCATTTGAAGGCAGTTATGAACTTTTTTTCGTAGAAAATTTGCGTACTTTTAGATAGTTAAAATCACCCAGTTTGATCTATTTTGCCGTTTGAAGCTATTGAAGAAAATCTTGAAAGGTGTAACGCTGTATTTTACCTGTCTAAATCATATTCAGCATTTGAATAGCAAAGATTTTCATCAAAGATTTTCACCCTCCGCAGTAGTGCAATTCATTCTTGAAAAAATACCATAACTCCATCCAGGTTCTCGTTTCGCAGATATGGAAAACAGTACTCGAATCAGCATCAAAAGCCGCATTTTTTAATATACAAACCATTATGAATGGCTGGGGTAACCAAGTACCGTTCCCTCTTAAGAAATGAATTTTTTTAGGCGTTCAAGTGAGTATTGGGCTTATCGAATATTTTGACTGTTCCAATTGTGCACAACATTTCCAGAGTAACAAATAATCAAATGATTGCATGTTTGGAAGCTTAGCAAAAACTGAGAGGCATTCGGCTCAACGCGTTCCCCTTCCGCATAAGATCGGGGGTTATCATTGCTTGGGATATACTGAAGCAAGCAAGAGGCAAATCCACCCAGAAATTTATCGTTTTTTGGCCCAAACTAGATGTTGTGATAGTGTCTCTTCTAATATGACTGCTACGTACATGATAACTATAAGATGGTCATCCCTACATTTCAGTGGTTTCAAAACTCCAATGCATGACTATTGTAACTCCAGTGTAAAGTTCGAATAAACAATGTAGATGCCGTTCACGAAACTGTCCCGCAAAAGTTACATTTATTCAAAAGTTAACTTTAAGGTACACCTCGAAATAATATAGCTTCTTCAAAAATGGATTTTGATTCCTTAATGCACGAATACTGTAACCCTACGATATAATTTCAGCGGTCAGATTAAACATTGTTAATGTCACATTCTCATATCATTTCTCGCTAGATGAGATTCCGGATTCTGGGAAACGGTCGAGGACATTTTGTAATTGATGTGCTCCTGCGACATTTGCCACAAACCATGCATCCCCACACGTTACACCATGGTGCACCACCAACTTTCCACACAGGAGGGAACGGCGGCTATAAAACCCCCTTTACCCGCGGAAATCTATCCGTTGACTATGTGGACGATGCGATATATCTTATTATTGGAATCAAAACTTTAAGAACGCCATGTGATAAATCGAAAGAAACTACAAAAAAAAAACACTTTGTGTAAACATGTTGAGAGATAAAAGATATTTAGCCATTCTGCGCGCACTATCTAATAGCTGAGAAAATGCTCGATATACGGCTCCCCGACGTTCACCAAGTACCAAAATCAACCGACCCGTGCACAGCCTAAGTGTAAGCTCATTGTCGGCGCACTGGTTCTCATTCCGGATGAATTATTTTCCATGATATTACATGCTTCCTTTAGGGTTAGAAAGGTGGGATGAAGAAAATAAAAATTTTGAAAGCTCGGAAATGCCCTTGTGCTTGCGTTTGACCGCAAAAAGTAAGTGACTAACGACTAGACCACAGAAATTGCGACAAAAATGTGTTCCTACCATCCTTCACTACCAACATATTGAACAGCAGTGAAAATTTGTGCAAGCCGGATTTTCGAGCTTTTTGTATGATCCCCCGATGATCTCCGGGGGCGATTGTCTTTTCTTCGAGTCATTTTTCTTTCTTTGAAATTAATGGAAGCCTTTCAAAGTTTTAATAATTATCGTCTAACTCAACAGTGCTAACCATGTTGCCGATATGAACATTTTTGGAGTCATGAAATTTGCGATGAACCACAAGTCGAAAGTGGTTTATCGAAATCGATATTTCAAAACTCATTTGTTTATCAGCAACATGCTTAGCACTGTTGGGTTAGTTTTGTTGACTTTGAAAAAAGAAAAATGGCTCTAAATAAGCAATAAGCTGAAAAACGCTGCTTGTACAGCTTCTCGCTCCTGTTCAATATGTCCATAGTAAGCATGGTGGGAACACTTAAGGGTAGGTAGGCAGCGCAAAACCCAGATATCTGGAGCTCAACGATATGAAGCTTTCTTTTGAGCTGCGATCCCCTCAACGTCGAAGATGTTAGCAGACCTTTACGGAACGTCTGGGAAACTCACATCCTCACTTCCTCTACATGCAGATGTGCATGCATATCCCGCTAAACTATGGCGAAATCACAATATAACTTGCTACACAATTTCTCTCTTGAATGAGCACCTTACTTCAAATCATAAAAATGGAACACTAAAAATGTTCAATAGTAGATCATGATAACTGAAACAAGTACAACGAGATGCTTTTGAAAATAATGTACAAAAAACTACAAGAAATAACTTATTGTTAGCATAGAAGCATAATGTACAGCCCAAGCCCTTGAAAAGTAATTATATGAAAGTGTGATCGTCTGAAGTAAGGAATGCTCACTATAATAAGCGACATGAACAATGGGCAACAAAGTCGCTTTTGAAACGAATACACCATGTCGAGAATCACATTGACTAACAAACGCATTGCGTGAGAACCGAAAGGCTTTTGATGTATTACTTAATGATTATGAAGGTAATACTCAACTATAAAGGCGAACTCAACTAAAAAAAGGTAGGTTTACACAGAATTATCTGCGATAGACAAGATCATAATGACCTGGTCGATAGAGCAGAGTTATACGAGGTGTTTCTTTCTGATCTGGTGGAAAATCGTAGTGTAGCCCTCCATTAGGAGCTGCATTCTGATCCATGTATTGTACGCGGATGCTCTGTCCTGAAATTGGCACCTCAAGTCTGCAATGACAACTGTTTTGTGTGCTCACCAATGGCATTCACAAGCCCAGTCACTGCTAGATGATCTGCGTCCTTCCACATTGACTCAATTTCAGTGACACAGTAGTCAGCAAGACTTACACTCTCAATGAAAGGTGCATACTCTTCGGCGTGCTCTTTCAAATAGCCCGCTGTTATCAACCTAAATCACATTGGGATAAGGTGATACAGCAAACTGCTAACATCTAAACCCTCGAAAAACTAAGGATTTTCTTCTAATTCCTTGCACGTTTGATCGACTCGAAGAGAAAGACGAAATTCACTTACCTTAGAAAGATGATGAGGTAATTGGCTTCATTGTCATCGTTGAGATCTTCAAATAATTTCTTGCGATCAGCTTGTTGTGTCCAAATTGGTGTCATCCATTTGTAAAACTGTAAAAAGTTTATGAGATCAACGCACAGAAATTCATGACAGTCGTACCACTTCACAGAAATCATTAGTAGTGAAATCAGGGTATCCAAGTTTTATGAGACGATCTTGCCACCCTTTGCAAATTTGTTCGAACCTGAAAAATGTCTCGTGTTTGGTAATGATAAGGTTGGTTGATGCATTGTTGTTGCACCAGAACAATACGAACCGCAGGGATTCATTCTCCCAAATCTTATACAAGTTCCAGTATACTACTCGATAGAGAAAAGCTAGTTCTACAAGATGGTTTCCAAGCTTTACATTTTGATCCAGGCGAAATTTGGAGCTAAAAACTACAAAAATATATAGGCCCTAAAATCCATCGAAAAAATCCACTCTGTTCATTAAAATTCTACGAAAATCCTTACTCAGTCAAGCATATATGAACCATATCAAAAATTCATCTATGTACAGTAGCAGTTGTATACTACATGCGTCTACAAGTACATCTTAAATCTACGAAAAGGGATAGCCCACGAGAAATATTTAATGTAGCCTAATCCGGATTTTTCATGCAGAATTGCCAAAAATTCAAGCGGAGTTCAGAGAGCTTCGTAAGTTTTTTGAACGGAGTTGCTATTTTTCCGTTTCTATGATGTGGGGTACATGCTTTTAGTTTCTGGTAAACTCCGCGTAGACCATGGTTAGTGCAAAGTTTTGGAGCAATTTTGTGGAGCTAGCTTTGCTCTATCGAATGATGCCAGAACTTATCTGGATAGGAGATAGGAGAAATGTGGATTATTGCGATTTGTACTATTAAAATACTATTAAAATACTATTTGTATTTTGATGCAAAAATGCATCAACCTTATATTAGTAGCTATGTATTAGTGGAGAAGATGCAAGGAGGAATGTAGAAGCAAAATTTTGATAGATGGTAGGATAAGTCATGAAAACACAAGAAACCTTATGTTTTCTGACAGCCTTGTTCGAAAATTGATGAAAAGTGTATCAGAGTATGCCTTCTTTTTTCAGCTTTCTTCGTTTTATATCGCTCGAAAAAATCCGCCCTATCGCTTTGCTCTCCACTACCAAGTAGTGCCATTGCAGAAAAAGACTAATAAAGGACAAACACGTATGAGCACCAAAAAGTATGCTAATGTCTTAATAAATAGCAATTACTTATGCTACTCGCTCAAATTGTAGGGAAGAAACATTGGGAACCAATAATTAAATAAGAAGACAAAGTCACCTTGTACATTCGGCGGAGTCATTCAACATCAGCTCCACTTGCGCGACCAGTACGGCCCGGTAAAAGCAATTGCCGTCTCGACGGATGATGCGAACATCGGAATATGTTCCAAGTAAGTCCTGATGAGATGTTTCAATCATATATAGACCATAACGATGTCAACAAACAAAAACCTTGGCTTTATTGTAAAACTCCGGACTTTCCATGGGGTCATACTCCATCACGACGACTTCGAAAGGCACCCGATCTCCGACCAAAGGTGTTTGTTTCTGCTATAATTTTGAAGAAATACTTGAAACATCTTCAAGACAAAGATACAAAACGTAAGAGAAACTTGAAAGAGTCTAAGGATGAATTGCTGACCTCTTCTTCGATTTGGCTCAGCTGTGCCTCCGTGAGCTCATTTTCTTTTTGAGCATCTTCTGGACTTTTTAATGAAGGATCTGCAACGAGCTTAATCATAAAACACTCGAGCTTGACTCAAAGACTGCGAAGGTAGGATAATGGATAGAATACCTCCGATTTGAGCATCGATATCACTCGCAGGTGGGCTGGCTACATTAGTAGGCTCAGATGTAGAAGCATCTTCAACACCAGTCATGACAAATGATGCTGTAAATGATGAATGCTTGGCTTTCGAATCAAATAATTCAACAGGCGAGAGGGAGTAAAAGCAATGGAACCGAATTCGAGCAGTTTTGCAGTACAAGAAACACCACGAGGCGGGAGAAAAGTAAATCTACGGCACTCAAACACAGAGTTAGAACATACGATTTACGTAAATTCGCAACTTTTAGCCTAAACGAAATGAATGGGCCAGCCTCCATTTCATAAATCCATCGTGACAGCTGCTCTTTGTCATAACAAACCTCACTATAATTCGTGATGAAAGAAGGAGCCGTCAGAGGAGTGACGTAAATGCGGCACAGCCTAATCTACGGCCAAAAGAGCGAGCGTCTCGATGGCTTTGAAAAGCCAGTCAAAATGCAAAGATTGCCTGCATATGCTTGTTAATCTGTCTAATACAATATTCACTGTTATAGATTAATGTGTGGGATACGACTTAGAGTTTTTTGGACGGTAATTAAGGTTGAAAATTATAGATATAACATAGGGGTTTTCAAGTACTCCGATTACTTTTAATTTCACTTCACTAACTTCAAATAAGCTCAACAGGATGTCTCCTTTTTGAACCTCTGAATTCTGAAAGCATTTTTTTGATTTGAGCAATTTCACTGAGATCTCGCTCTGCTCCTACGTAAGAGGACCTTCCGCTCTGCGATCTGAAGATTAAGTTTCCTTCAACTTTGATCATAAGTTAGGGACCTTAGAAATCAAGCTAGCTATAAAAATAAATGCGTTTGTCTTCGATGGTTTGTAGAAACTTCAAAAATCTTTGTAAGAAAGTACGGTATTATTAGAAGAGTTCAAGAAGAAGCAAGTGGTGTTGTTTGGCACGCGCCATACTTGATCCGCTTAATCCACTTAATCCGCTTGATCCGCTTCGCCATTGGTCAGTTCAGTAAATTGACCAATAGCGAAGCGGATCAAGCGGATCAGTGGATTAAGCGGATCAAGTATGGCGGGTGCCTTTGATAGATATTTCTTTTGATGACGAAATGATGCAGAATTGCGGGATACAGTTTTCCGTCGAATTTATGAATAATGAATGCTAAGAAATAATACTCTCAAAACAAATTTATTACGTACATATTCGATTCGATTCATTCCCTCGAATTTTGACCACAACCGAATTGCAGACCACGATCTTGTTTCATACCTAGAGCTTATACGTATCCAGTCATATTAGGGATAGTGGAGGTAACGAAAAAAAGCGATTGATTCAGCTACATAAGGACATAAATGTTATTTATAATTGATATTAGGTTGGAAAAAATAGGGAAGCTCAGGAGAAATAATGACGCTTTTTATTTGCGTCCTATGGTCCCACAACCAGGCAAACCCGAAATTGCACGAGGAGTACTGCTCGATAAAGCAAAGTATATAAGCTGCCTGCTTTCCCGCCGTGATGGACACGTGAAATTTGAAACCAGGGCTAAAAAGAAATTCGGAATGTCCAAAAGTCGAAAACATGTAATCTTCATCCATAAACTTCTTATGGGTCTCTCATTCTCCCACTTCCATATATCTAAGCTATCGTTCAGACCTTCATATATACAGTTGCTGTATTTTATCCTTTAATAAAAACGCGAAAACGAAAATATTCCTGTTTTTCGCAGCCTTTAGCAGGAGCTAGAATTCTATATATAAATAGAACCGAAACTCTGTAAGTTTGTTCGTCTGTAAGTATGTGGGTTATAGACTCTTTTGTGTGTGAATCGATGGGCTAAAGTTCGTCCCCCTATAAATAAGGCAGGGCGCAGAAGATAGGCTATTCTTTGCCACGATTTGTTAGGCTCTTCAATCGATTCATTGATTTGTTAAGTACATCGAGAGGTTACCAATTGTTTGACATTTCCCCATAGTCATGTAAGCTGGGCGGTGAAGTCCATTTATCGTCGAATCGTTGACCGCACGGACTGCTCAAACGCTGCAGCCCACGCGCGGCGCGGCTAAATTGTCGCGAGACCACGATCCAAGTCGACTTGTACAATGCGGATTTGTACTGGGGCAAGCGTTTTACCTCGCGGCGCGTGCTCCGCAGTGATGTCCAGTCTGTGCGGTCAACGAATCAACTATACACTTTTCGGCGAAGAGAATCCGGTGCTTCAAGTCAGCAAGGAAGACATCACATTTCGTCGCAGATATGAAGAAGGGCGGTGAGTTCCAATGCGTTTCGAATTAAGTAGCCCAAACCCCGGGCGGGGCCGGGGCGCCACCTAGTATTAACTAAAGCTTCCCTCTTTTGGGATTTGTAAAATAATATCACCTTAATTTACTGTCTCACCTTTGTTAAAATGAGTCTGGTATAGTTTCCGGTTGATACAGTGTTACTACGGTGGTGACAACGTTTGCGGTGAAAAATCGCCGTAAGAGAAAAACTTGAGGAAGTGTGCTTGGCTATCTGTTGCGCGAAAGTGTTGTTGGCATTGCCAACAAATTATTCACCAGATTTACTAGATAATAGTCGTAATATTTACGTTTTCTGGTGCAGTATTTATCCAAGAAGTCTATTGTCGATAGAATATTAAGTTGGCTAATGAATATTTTAGGTAGTTTTTGCGGCATCTACAAATGCTGCAGACGAGTTTTTGTCCAATGTTTGGTATCTCTGGAAAGAGCACTTTAATGAGAATTTGAGTATAAGCTTCGTTTGAATTGAGTTTACTTCCCTACGAAAAAAGGCGCAAGGAAGTGAAAACTCCCCATTATCACATTGTGTGCAAAATTTGCGAAAATTTTTTTGTTTTTTGTTTTTTCGATCAGAGGATTTCAAAATGGCAGATCACGACTTTTATTGTTACTCGCTGAATAGTGAAAACTTAGATGTTTCATAAACCATATTAATCATCTCTATTTGCATAGAAGCATGAAAACTAAGCTTAGAAAGTTAATGAACTAAGCTCTTTGAAATTTGGCCATACTGGATAGCCGTCCTTTATGCTGTTGAATAACTCTGAGTGGTTGATCTATGATGGTAGAAGCTTCGAACTACTTCCCCTCAAAAAATCATTGATAGCTAACCTAATACTATGTGCATGATTTGCAAATTCAAGCATCATTTCATCATCTATTAACCGATAACCGCTACAGTCAATTCTGACTTCGTTTCTAGTCACTTGTTCAAGGACGGGGTATGAAGAAATACTTACTCAGAAAAGTTTCACATGCACTAAACACTGTAAAAGCATACGCAAAAAGCTGAATCACATAACAATCTTTGTACCTTTGTTTGTAGTATACGGATTTTTCGCGCAAGTTCGGTGAATGATATTACAACTCGGAACATCGAATTGTTAACCGAAACAAATGATAGTCTCGCCCACTGGTTTAGTTGATTGTGAACAAACATCGCATTTCAGTTTATGTCTTTATTTGTCTGTTCATTTAGTTTTTGGTTGCGTCGTGGTTTTACTGGCATAACGTCCCTCTTCACTTTATATATCAAAGTTTCGTGATTCTAAAACTTACTCCACGTCCGTTGAAAAAAATGCATCTGAGCATAACTTAACACTAATCAAAGCCTTATTTCGCGAAAATAATGCATCTCGCTGAATTTTATTTGGAAAAAAAGGCCAGTGTCATTCTAAGTGCGAACCAAAATCTTGTACGAACCGAATACTTCAATCACCGCTTGAGAATGGCAGGCGTAGCAAAACGTACGTGCACATAAGACTCAAATTTCGTTTCCAAATTCGGTTGAGTCTAAACGAACTCTTCAGCATAAGAGAGAGGTTGGCTGTTGAGATACTGAAATTTTTAGCTTGGATGAAGTGCACATAAAGAGATTCCTTGTGAGCCGAAAAACTATTTCATAGAAGTGGCTTTTGATAGACGCAGTTGTAGTGTTTCGATTTGGTTTAGCAAGAATGACTATTTTTTAAAACATTAAATTTTTTATTGGAATTTCCTCTATCGTATTACTCGCTTGCCTTGCAAGCATTCTTTGTTCCTTCAATCTGCCAGAACCGTTAAATCAAGCTGTTTTGATTGAAAAAATTTAGTCATAGGTATCTTTTTTGTCGATGATCTCGTTTGTTTCGATATGCCTCAAGAGAACATACTTTTAGTGCTCAAAACAAGAATCATTTTTGGCATATATTGTATACAAATTGGTAAAGATAATATTAGGTTGCTACATAAGTCTTATTACACTTAACTTTTAACGGCGATAAGTCATACACCTCATAGTCTTTGCAGGACTCCAAGGTACCATTCGATAGAGCAAAGCAAGCTCTACAAGATGGTCTGCAAAAGTTCGCACCAGCTCCGACCCACCGTAAATTAGCACCTAAAATCTGAGTCGTACTGAAATTCAAAAAATCGCGAAAAATTCATATCTTTCTTCAGAAAAATCCTACAAATCTCCAACTTGCTTACAAAAATTGCCCACTATATAAGACACTTATATGTACCGTTGCTGTATTTTTTCCTTATCTAGAAATCGAGAAAAAGAAAATTTTTTATTTTTTACAAAAACGAAGCTATGCTGTTTTTATTTACGTAGCTGTATACTACAAGCCTTTAGAAATATAACCGTAAATTTTCAGCTCTCTAGAAGCCTTAGTTTTCGAGAAAAACCAAATTTGGCTTTTGTCACTCGGGTGTTCAATGCCAAATTAGGTAATTTTCGAAAACTAAGGCTTCTAGAGAGCTGAAAATTTACGGTTATATTTCTAAAGGCTTGTAGTATACAGCTACGTAAATAAAAACAGCATAGCTTCGTTTTTGTAAAAAATAAAAAATTTTCTTTTTCTCGATTTCTAGATAAGGAAAAAATACAGCAACGGTACATATAAGTGTCTTATATAGTGGGCAATTTTTGTAAGCAAGTTGGAGATTTGTAGGATTTTTCTGAAGAAAGATGTGAATTTTTCGCGATTTTTTGAATTTCAGTACGACTCAGATTTTGGGTGCAAATTTACAGTGGGTCGGAGCTGGTGCGAACTTTTGCAGACCATCTTGTAGAGCTTGCTTTGCTCTATCGAATGGTACCTTGGAGTCCTTCAAAGACTATGAGGTGTATGACTTATCGCCGTTAAAAGTTAAGTGTAACAAGACTTATGTAACAACCTAATAGCATGCAAGTTTTACTATGAATTTCGCAGTTAAAATGTTATACGATCCTAAATCTTACTTAGTTATATGGCCTTCACTTTCCCTTGATTGTAAAACAATTTCACGGTAGGAATATTTCCACGAATAGCAATAGCTTTCGCATTTTCTATAGCTTTAGTTTTTTAAATTAAATTTCTAATATATACCATAAACTACTACATATACTATGTATAACAGAGAGTATTGTATAGTTTGTCTATTTTTTCTGAATTTTTAGGTACAAGTCTTTCATTTTGTTGTTGCAGTATTCATCTATCAACCTAATAAGTTTAGACACTATGCGAGCATAATTTTCGCGTAATGTAGAATGTTCTCCTTAACTCAGTCATAAAACATAGAATGAACTCTTGTTGCTTTACGCATGCATTCAAGATTACTGATGCTCCATTTGATTTTGTCTGGCAGTCATAATCATACTTCTCAAAAATCTTCATATAGCTAGGTAAACCAGAACCCGTCAGCAGAATCAGATCATGAAAAGAATTTCAACTCTACCATGACGGTGGAGTCATTCTTTTGAGCATCCTTGTTCAGTATCTTTGTGCAGAGAGTCACAGTGCAGTCTACAAGCTCTCAATGTTTTCTTTTTCGCGCAATTGTTGCTGCTACCGCTACGGCACCATGTAGGCTGTCGAATCTGCGTGCTATAAAATTTTTCGAGAATATTGTAAGTGGAGCGACCTAAGCATAATGGAATCAGATACTGACTCAATTTAAACCTACTCCGTTTCTTCTTCAAGTGAATGCCACGTAGTCTCTGCTGTTTATCCTTTGCTTGTCTGCGCTTCAACTTATCGCGAGTTATTTCGCTATCACCCACGCGCTCCACGGGGCTTGGCTCTAATATTCTTTTCACCATTCTTTTGAACTCAGTTCTGGCAAATAGTATACCATCTTGTAGCTCTATATGCATGCATGTTTTCGTTACTTCTACTGCTTCAGCTTACAATGGTCCTTGTGGCCCTCGCTGTTGCATCAATCGCTATTTCATATCTGGCCGCGTGGATTCCGTCTATTTTGCTATGGATTAAAAGAAGATTGCGGACCATCGAATTAATTGAACGTTTTCCTGGCCCAGAGGCACTTCCTCTAATCGGATGCGCACATCAGTTCAGCTTCGACAGTCACAGTATGGATAACCTGTAGAAAAAAATATTTTGGCACTTTGACACTGATTTTTTTTCTAGAATTCTCGCACCAAATGGAGGAAACGTTCGAGAAATATTGCGAAGGAAATCATGGCAATGGTATTTTTCGAATGTGGATTGGACCTGTTCCCGTCGTATTCATATGCAGGGCGGATGCTGCGAAGGTATGACCTACTGAATGATAGAAGAAGAATTCTTATGTTTGTTATTCCTATGCTGCAATTCCGAAAAATTTCTGTGAAGGGTGAGGGGGAGAAGTAGACGGCAAAATTTTGTTTCTAGTAATTGAGTGTGGCATTAATCACGCACTCCAGATCTCTTGAAATGAAGCTGATTTGGGGTTCTGAAGATCTGAAAAAGTGTACGATTCATTTACAAATAGAAATAAGTCATTTAGCACCGTTTCCGCACATATGCAGTGTTTTCTTTCACTTTTCTTAAAAGGACATAATTCAGGCTCTACTGGAAAACAGCAAAGAAATATCAAAACCTGCTGAAGGTTACACTAGACTTCAGGAATGGCTAGGCTTAGGTCTGCTCACAAGGTATGAAGGCCTACGTTAAAGATGTTTTGCTTTGAAATGTTGAAACTTGCAGGAATGGAGACATGTGGAGGACAAGGAGGAAAATGCTGACACCCGCTTTTCATTTTTCGATTTTAAGCGACTTTTTGCCAATTTTCAACAAGGTAGGATATATTAGAAAAGTACGTTGGGCTTAAGAAGGCTCTGGACTTGCAGAAATAATGAATAAATATTCGAAAATATGGGGATATATTGAAATGCTGCGAGAATCTGAAGATTGACGAGATTGACTTTGAAGAGATTTTCACTTGAAAATAAGCCATTTGTACACACTTCCGCCAAAGATATGTGTACGCAAAAAATTCATAGACAGTTGTTTTCCGTCTTGTGAAGCAATAGCAGTTTAGCATTTGAGATGAATGAAAGGTAGCGTTTAACTAATCTGTCGTAATGTCTACTCATTTTCTCCAGTGATCCCCACTCCTTAGACATCCAATTTGTAATAGTTAGATAAACCGATTATCGACGAAAATGCTCCCTGAGTTTTGATAATTCCAATCATTTTGCCACTTAACTTTCCGACAACAATGGAATTGGGCACCTCATCATGGTTTTTAGGAAACAAGCATTCTCCTCCAGCAGTTTTCACAGTTTGCTGACACAGAAAAGGCTGTTGACGTGCTTCCTCTGATAAAACTTTGCTCATTGGATGTTATATGCGGTATATTTCAAATCTAATGCTACCCCATATGAACATGCTAACTTATAGAATCTGCCATGGGCGTAAACATACGAGCACAGATAGGCCATAACAAAGAGTACGTTGAATCAGTTAGGGAGCTATGTCAACTGCTTTGGGATCGGGAACGACTACCGTGGCTTTGGCCAGAGCTTTTTTGGATTCTCTCGGGGAGAGCAGCTCGTTGCGAAAGGGCTCTTGGAATTGTAAAAGGATTCACACGAGCAGTAAGGATTATACTCATAAAATTACTTGCTCAAAGAAGGATTTTAGGTCATCACGAAACGAAAAGAGCAAAGAAAGCTTCAAAGGCGAGATCCAAATCGGAAACCCGCATTCCTCGACTTGCTTTTGGATATGCAAGAATCGAACTGCCTTAGCGATAATGACATTGGAGACGAGGTGGATACTTTCATGTTTGAAGGTGAAACTTTTCCTCTTCTCAATTTTGGCGTTTGAAAACTTCATATTTGAGGTCACGACACCGTCTCAAGCGCGCTTGGTTATGCCCTTTTCTGCCTGGGTAACTATCCCGAAGAACAAGAAAGGCTGTTTGAAGAGGTTAAAGATGTAATTGGTGGGTCCATTCAATGTATTATAAAGCAATTGTATCAATATGATATAAAGAGTTTAAGGGCCAGATGACCGCGAGCTTACACTTGAAGATGTTCGCAATCTTAAACACACTGATAAAGTGCTCAAGGAAGCCCTCAGGGTGTTTCCTCCCGTCCCTATGATCGCTAGAAGATTGGAAGAGGATTTGAATGCATGTAAGTGATCTGGTAAATTTAGTAGCTAACTCCACTCAATTATAATTTTTAGGTGGGGAAACTATTCCTGCTGGTGTTACAGCCATGATAGTACCCTTTGGAACTCATCGAGACCCTAAGGTAAAGGACTCATTGTTTTTTTTCTTTTGCGAACTTTTATTCTCTGGCGTCTGTAGGAGATTATTTTTTTGGCCCATTTTGCTACAGAAAAGGTTTCGTATCGAAGAATTTAAGTTTTTCAAAGTGTAATAACGCATAATCATTTTATGCTTTGCAATTATTATGGATGGAAGATCAACAGAAAACGTTTATTCTGCCAAATAATCATAACACTGTCAGCAGCTCTGTATGAATCCCTATAAAATTGCGAAGATCGATTAAAACAAGGAGAAATCGATGCCATATTTGACCTATGCAGAATAACGAAAGTGGACAAAGTTGTAGATGTTGCGATGTAATGGGAATAATTGGATTGAGATAACAGTTCAGTCACATGGAAGAACCCACAAGTTTTTGCGCAAGATTTTTTTTTCCTGGAAAAAATTGAACTTGTTCAAACTGAGTCGTTCGCGATTCTATGTACTTTGCCAATCTTCGAAAATGCGCACGCTGACCTGAACGCGAACACTGGTGTCTATTCGCCGAATAGCTACCTTCAGCATATCACTTAGCTGTTTATTGGTTCAAAACATAAAAACCGGTTGTCGCTTGACTACAGCGAAGACTACTAGAGAGAGAACTGTGAAGATGGAGATATTCGCAATTCCAAAAAAACTCGCAGCTTTAAATACTTCAGAGAGTAACTTTCAAAAGTCCTTGAAGCTTATTCTGTTATGGCAAATTTGGTAAATGTGACGAATTTAGAACCAAACACCATCGCATCGGTGTCGCGATAATATCACAATATCTCACTCCTTCCGAAAAATTATTGTGGAAGTCCTCGATTTTTTTGTGGGCTTATATAGCTTCAAAAGTTGTTAGGGGTGTGGTGGCAGTCCCCCCTCCCTCCCCTTCTCCCCTGAGGCTACAGCAATACAATTTCTTTGAAATCTTGTCATATTCTGCTGCATTGAAAATTTGAGATTTGTGCAGTGGGAAGGTGTATCATTTACGGCTTTATTGGGTACCCCGAAAATACGCTTTAGACTCAAAGTAAATGCAAAACGACCAGTTATTTCCGACGTTGTAGCAAGCAATGTTAACCGCTTCTTTATGTATCATTAATTATACTTCATATAAAATTCTCTCGAAAATAGCATTGGTAATTCGAATAACAGTTATTTCAGTATTTCTCTCACCCTCGCAAGTTCTATCCCGACCATTTCGACGTCGACGTCTGTTCCAGCCGTAACGCGTATGCCTTCATTCCATTCTCAGCTGGACCAAGGAATTGCATAGGTATCAATAGAATCGATACATTGGTTTCGTTTATGAGCGTTCGAAAAATTGATGCAAAATTATTAGGCTTGTCGTTGATTCATTTTCGATCATTGTTCTCACATGGTGTATAATTGAAACCGCAAATGGCATCATGATAGAGCCCTCACAGAAGCTATTAAGGATTTTTTCAATCATATCAAGTATTCATATGCTTTTCATCTCGAGATTTTGGCTTTCAGGTCAACGATTTGCTGCGCTAGAAGAAAAGGTAATGCTTGCTCGACTAGTACGACGATACCGATTTCGCGCGACATTGACGTTCGAACAGAATCGTGGGCTTCCGGAATTCATCTTGAGGCCGGCTGAAGGAATTCCTCTCATCATAGAGAGAAGAAAGGATTAGAGTCTGACTTACTCATCAGCCTTGAGTAACCACTGCTGTTACACAAAAAATTATGAGCTATTAATGTACATAAACGTTAATTTTTTTGAGATTGTAATCGACTAAGGCAAACATAAACGAATAAGACATTCAAAATACAGATTAATTTCTTTAGTGGTCGAGGGAGTTTCCATCTCATATTAGCATTTTTTACACCGCTATGATCGCTGCAAGTTGAGCATTCAACGGAGAGGGGCAGATTAGGTCAAGGGGGGGGGAGCACCGACAACAATTTTTGCTAAGGATAAGGATAGTCATCAGCAAGTGCCAGATTTAGAAGGGTTTTTGCAAAACATTTTGAATTAGGAAATGATTGTTGCGCAGATCGGAAGGGCTTTGAAAAGTACTGAATTGACTTTTAGGCCCGAGTTTAGTAAACTGGGCAAAACTTTATTTGCCTTATGAGGAGAATTTAGCACTCGCAAAACTTTTGTCTGCAGCACCTTGAGCGACCGTAACCGAGTTATAATAAGATTCGTTTTGCTAGCTAGAGAAGTCATGTACATAAATATAATAAGAGATCGTGATTATCATAAATTTAGTTATTGCTGTAGGCTTTTGTCCGGGTTCAAGAACCTGAATGTGTAAGATATTAACGGTTATGCATAGAGCTCGTAGTATCAAACAAGTGCTCCAGCAGAACCAAAAAGTGTTTGGTAAGACCCTTCTCTTTTGCTTCACCATATCGCACAAATTTCCAGGAACAAATTTTTTAAGGAAATTTGTCCTAGGATATGCATAAGATGTGAGCTTTTTACCAAAAGAATAGAGTGAGAGACAAACATAACCAAGATGAGCATGAGAAGATTTGCCTTAAAGAAACTCTCTCATTTACAGTTATTGTAGCTCACATATTGGGATATTTCCATGATTTCCATGCCAAATTTCCCCCAACTATTGAAAGTTTGTGTGCGGGGCTTGCGTGGTTGACTACATTTTACTCGTTTTAGATTATCTGGGTCATGTTTCTGAAGTCTTTAGTAATTCTTTATTTGAGTAAAATTCCAGCTTTCGAAGAACATTTAGCCCAAAGCGTACGAGCAGAGTAATGATTGTTTTGCCAGTGATGTTTAGTGTTAGTAACAACTAAGTTTTAGTTCGCACTGAAAGTTTCTATATATCTGCAGTTGTTTTCTCATGACTTTACCGATAAGCGAAATCTCGAAGATGATCTTGCAAAGTTTCGAAAAGTAGGTCGCAAAAATCTAAAAGCACTTGTATAGTTTGAGGTGCGGTTTACTTGAATTACACCTACCCTTCTCAAAAGTCTAGAATGAGGTTTTGCAAAGCCATCGAGCAGATAGAAATGACCGGTAAGAAATAGGGCAATTATACAGGGTGTCCCAAAAAAATGTGCCTACTGTTTGATTGTAAGTAACTGTAACTGTAACTGTAACTCTCTTGTAATGAAGTGTTTCAAGAAGCTTTAGGTACCATTTTGTAGAGCGAGGTTAAGCTTAGATTTACAGTATGGAGCGAATTATCTAAAGTGCGGTTCATAATTATAAGAACACCCAAAATTTTGTAAGTTTTCGGACTTTTTGGGAGAAAGTCAAAAATCCGTTGGTACCACGCGATAAAACACAGCCGAAAACGGTATATGATCCATGGGAATGGAAATCGTGTCAATTGTAGGAGTGTTTTTGCGCCTAATGCGAATTTTTAGCGGTTCATAATTATACGAGCACCTCAAACAAAGGTCCATTTTTCATTCAAGATTGCAATCATTTGAGTCCAAATTTTTTGTAGAGTTACGGTAACAAAGTCTGACATACTGGCTACACACTGAACCCAGTGCAGTTCAAAAAGAGGACCGTTACCTTTTTTCAGAAGGCTCTAAGTGCTTTTGGAGTGATTACGCTCCAAAAACATCCGTTCTTCTGTGGTTTACGCGCTCTAGTTAGCTTCTACTAAAGCTATGAGATAAAATAAGCTCTTTCGATAGGTATTTTGTTTGACGCTTGGAAAATCCTTGCGTTTTCGTGCAGTTTTCAACCAAGTTCCAAGCTTACCACAGAGTTAGCACGATTTCGAGCCCCAAAACTCAGCTTTTCTCTTGCGCAAACATTTGATATGAAGCAGCTGCATTGCTTGCGTGCTGATGTTTCTGTGCCAAAGTTTTTGGGTTTTTTGTAGAACTGATCTTGAGGCTGTGGAGCTACAAACCAAATAAAGGTGGGATTGCAATAGTAAAAACAGTGTTTTTGGTGAAATGACGTCTGCGTGGCCAAAACAAACGCTCAACGCTGCTGATTTTTTCTAGCCAAATACATATTCTTGTGAACTTCTACATGCCATCTGCTTCTTCATTGTAGGGCTTCCGAAGCTGAGTTTTAAGGCTCGAAATCGCGCTGACTCTAGGGTAAGGTTGGGACTTGGTTGAAAAACGGTACAAACCCAAGGATTTTCCAAGCGTCAAACAAAATACCTATCGAGAGAGCTTATTTCATCTCATAGCTTTGATAGAAGCTAACTAGAGCTCGTAAACCACAGAAAAACGGATGTTTTTGGAGCCCAATCACTCCAAAAGCACTTAGAGCCTTCTGAAAAAAGGTAACGGTCCTCTTTTTGAACTGCACTGGGTTTAGTGTGTAGCAGATATGTCAGACTTTGTTACTGTAACTCTACAAAAAATTTGGACTCGAATTCTGGCAAGGGGCTAGAGTCAGGCTTTCAACATCTAGTCTGCCACTCCATTTTAGTTAAAATAAATCTATTGCCATACAGGACGTTTGGGCGGGCAGGTCTCAAAGTCTTGATCTTTCATGAAGCCCTAATGAAGGCGGACGGACCACCGGGACGCTGGCTTATCGCATAATATAGTCTTGCTACCAACCTTGGTCGGCAGCTTATAAACTGTATTACAACTTGAGTCACAATGCCAAGGTTTATCGACAATCGATCACGAAGTATCAATGTCCCGATTTAAGTTTTAAGTTTTTCTTAAACGGCAATTTGAATTTAAACGGCGACGGCATTAAACCTACACCGCATCTGGGGAGCGGCTTGAATTTCATTGGAAATGGAGTCGCAGCAGAGAAAACCTGTAAGGAATAAAGTACTGCACAGTAAGCCTAAGGTGTAAAATCGCAAACTAAGTCATGTCTTGCTTGGTCGACGTACCACTAATACGGTCAGTAACAAGAAGATATGATTGAAAATTCTCATTCTGGTCGAACTGACGTAAACTCTCTGAAAAAAATATCCTGAGAGAGCAAGCGGTGCATAGAGCGGTTGATGAAACGACGAACAAACGAAACTTTTTTTGACACGACTTGACAGAAAAACAAATGATCTTTTGCGTGCAAGAAAAATTGCAATAACCTTGACTTCTCTGCTATGTGATCCCTAGGCATTTGTAAGAGACAATGTCGCAGATTATGTCAAAAATGAAGCGTCATAAAGTTGTGCACAAATTGCTGTTCCACGATATACGTGTCCGCATGTGTAAATCAAACAGTCTGATCGCTGATACCTCACTAGCTTTCATGTCTTCTCGAATTTTGGGCATTATTCTGTAGAGCTGGCTTTGACTTTGGCCCGTATGCACGTACACACGCGGGGAAGAAAGGGGATCTGAGAGGGGAAGCGCCATATCTCACTGCTCTAGATATCTTTCTTCTTTCTTCTCATCGTGCTTATGAGGGTTCTCGTACCCTTATACCTGCGCATAATAGATGCCAGGTTACTGCTATACAAGATTAAATATTCACTATTTCTTCCGATCCCTTGGGGATCCCCGGGGGATCATCTCGCATATTCAAAGTCATTTATCTTCCTGAAAAATGAATGAAAACGCTGCAAAATTGTACTGAAGATACACTACGATACTGCTGAGCATGTTTTCGACAGAAGAAATTGAATCTGAAGAATTTGATTTTTTCGATAATCCCTGGCTCGCGAGCAGCGGTTCATCGAAGATTTTGATATCTTGAGATTTCACTCATTTCTACTATAATTATGTTTAGCAGTGCTCTAGTATATCCACAGTGCAATTTGAGAACATTATCATCGAGTTTTTAGGAAGATAAATAACCTAAAATGTGAGGTGATCCCCTGAGGATCCCCAGGGGATCGGAAGAAATAGCGAATATTTAATCTTGTATAGCAGTAACCTGGCATCTATAATATTATGCGCAAGTATCAGTGTATGAGAACCTTCAAAACCAAGACAGAGAAAGAAGAAGAAAGATACATAGACTAACGAAATATGACGCTTCCCCTCTCAGATCCCCTCCCCTCCCCGCGGGGATGTACGTGCATACGGGCCTTAGACTTAGCACGAGCGAATTTCCGATCGCTCTTTGTTTGTGCAGAATAATGGTAGGAACTTTAAGAAGGATTCTAGGATATTGAAAGCCATATTTTGCCTCGCAAAATAAAAGAAACAAGCCAAAAGCTTTCACATTAGATTAATCAAAGTCTCAGACTTTAGATATGGATAGCATTTCACTGTAATGCTTGATTAATAAGTAGTAATCTCCCGTACAATTGTCTTCCCATTTCAAAATGTGATCGTACCCTTGAGACGCTCAACAAACTCGAAAACATGTAGTAAAATCAGCAAGCGTGAAAACCGTGCTACGCAGTTCTCCAGACTTTATTATTATGACTTTATACCTAATATTTATGAGCATTTGACATCTTTCAACTAAATAACTCCCTCTTTATTGCAGTAGTCGATTATTTTCAAGATGCGGACACCTTTGGTAAAATCTATACCATTGAGTTTGTTCCACACGTATGATACCTGTGTCTGCGTTTCTTCAGGTTCCGAAAAGTACTGTGGGTTGCAGAGACCTTTTGAAGTGAGATGTACATGCCAGGCGTAGTACGGTGTCCTAATCTCAATTCCGATACGAAAAACGCTTCCGTCAACATATTAGGTATTAGGTTGGCCCGAAAATGTAAGCACCATTTTTAAAAAGTTGCAGCCTTTTGAGGTACTTTCTAACTTGCAAACAGCAGTGATAGAAGTTCACGAATAGAATTTTTAGGATTGTCAGAAATGTGAACAAGGCCCGGTGAAGGTCTCAAATAGTCCTCTGTGAAGCGATTACGCCTTTGCCGCTTTGATCTCACGATTTTTCTTTTGATCGCACAGACTGTGCAGGCTATTTGATTTGTGCGTTTTTTCTTACAAGGCGGGGTTCCTTTGGTTTTTGGAATCTAGCAAAGAGGAGAGAAGAAGCTGAAGAGGAAGTTGCTTTAATAATCACTTAAGTGTTAGAATTCTTGCATTACATACAAGAACTTTTGTACCGCAATTTGCAAGCTCTCAAAGTGTTAACCTCGACTCTGCATGAAGCAAAGCTGCATTCACTAGAGGATCGTGAAGTTCACACGTGAGTGCCTCTGTGCTGGCCAAGAAGCAAAGCAGTAGGAGTGTGAAAAGAGAGAAATTCATTGTTAACTCTGAAAATTATAATATATTATAAATGCACCTCTTTGAATAAAGGCTGTATAAGATACCAGAGAAGGAAGGGTCAACATTTATGTTTTACCTATCACATAATATTTTTCCTCACCATTGTATAAGCGGTTGCAGAATAGGGTTATGTTATGTTGACGTGATCGCTTCTGCTGAGGGCTTACCTCCATGTCTCAATAGGAATGTTTGTGGAAGGCAAGTCCTACAACATTTGAAGCGAGAAATCGAGAGCGTATGACCGACAGAACACTCTTTCCTTTTAAACACTTACAAGCAAAGTCCTGTGCCAGTCATATGAGGGTACTTCTTTTAATCGCTTATATGTAATCAGATTTGATGAATTAGATAGAAAATCCCTTGACGGTTAATGTATTAAAAAAACTTATGTTGATCCTTGAACCAAGCCGCAACTCGTGACAAGTGTGTCCATTGCTTATGACCAAGTGTGTCGAATGACAATTTTACGATGCTTTTGGAACTTTCAGATGATTTTGCCAATCGATATGGGGAAAGTCTTTGCTTCATCATATTATACAACAATCATCCCAGTTGCATAGACATTAAATGGATTTTGCAACGCTTTAAGAATGATATTTTTATGAAAATGATGCACAAGATTATTTTTTCTACCGAAAAGTTAAATGTCAAAAAATCGTACGTTTTCCAAATAAAGATCGCAGATGTAAAGACTTACTTCGCTCAAGGCCTGATGAATGAACGCCTCAAAACTTATTCCTCTCCGGAATTCGTGGCTTTTTTGATTGCTGTGAATTTATGTCTAAACATATAAATACAAGAACACGCTATGATTATCTGCATGATGCTTGTTTTGAACTCACACCAAAGGCGGTAAAAAAATTTGGTTTTGCTCTACAAAAGCGAGTACTGACCCCTTTAGTACTCATAGTTTTCTTTTCCAGAGTCCTTAGATCACATGCCTTTCTGGATGCTTTATGATTCGTAGCTCCATTCTGCTCATCTTCATCTAAATATGATATTCGGTTGTGGCAAATGTTTCGTTGACGTCTTTCAGCCAGATTTTTAACCGATTATGATTTCTGAAGTAAATCATTGATTTGATGACAATTCTTTTATCTAAAGGAGTAAGTGGTGTTTTTTAGTGATGAAAAAAACATAATTATCAAATCATCTGTTCAGTGTCATCAAGAATCATTTACAGCAAGCTCCTTAGCGATTGCTAATAGACTGCATGAAAGTTTGCTTCAACGAGGTAATAATCATTTTTGTTTCTCTACTTATAGGACAAAGTATGGTGTGCTCCAATCCTTTGCTATCACTTCAAAATGCAGTAATCACATCATTTGATTGTGCTCTAATAATCAGCCCCATGACCTTAATTTGCAAATGAAACAGTAAGCGCTAATTACTGCAAACTCACTCAAATGCATAGATGCAAGTCCTTAAAACTGTGGATAGACGATGTGTATTGCGGTAACTCCGCGATATCAACGCAGTACTTTTTCTTATTTCTAAGTTTCAAAGGACAAAAAAGCTTGTTTCTTCAATGATCGTCGTTCCCTTGTCTTTATCTTTATCTTTTTCTTTTTCTTTATCCCATACACGTAAACGTGTGCCAAAGCCTGTGTGAGTGAGGAGCATTGCTAGAGTAAAAGACTAGCCTGTCACCTTTCATCAGAACAAACAAACAGCGAATAAGGGCCTCACGTGTTGAGGAAGAAAAATTTCTGCTTGGTCAAGGGGGGTCAGGTGATTGGCACTGGAGAGTGCCATTGCCACTTTTGCGGGCTGTCCAAAACGCCTGCGATTGGTTCCTGCCAGGTATCCACCAACCTGACACTACCGACGCTTGAAAACACCCGTTTTATTCTGGGAAAGCCATGCATGAAACGCAGCTGTCTATGGTCTCAAAGAGCAGTGTTATTGCTCATCCAAAAGTGGGTGACAAGCCAGCAAAACATGATTGGTAAACACGATAAACCGAGAAACACGAACACGGTGGGAAAAAAACATGAAATTGTGAACCCAAGTAGTAGGAAAGGGCTTCACGAAGGCGGTTGTCGTAAAAGCGAAGTGGGGAAAGCAAAGTCCGAAACAGATGAGTCGACAAGCGAAATGCCAGCAAGAAATAGACCAGAGTTAAGCAGACCTGTAATGAAAACAGAGCGAGTCACAAAAGATTGTTCAGTATTGACAAATGTCAACTTTCCTCAGTTTTCTTTTATAGGCTTCACAGTTGTCAGCACTCAAAACTTCGCGAGCTATGCACCGTAACCATCTAGCTTCCGGCAAAAAATATGAGTGAATAACATTATGGCATGTCTCCTCTCAACTTTTGGGTAATGCAAGTTGAAACTATCATGTCTATCGTAAGCAGGCATAAAGATACAGTAATCGCTGGGATTCATCACTCCCATTCATAATAGTTGCAAATGATAAAAACCGTCATATTGAATAACAAATTTTTTGATATTTATGGTGTACTTGAAAAGTTATCATAATCAGCCGAAAATGCTACGGTAATCGTTCATCGCCTTGACAGCTCACGGCACTGCGATATGATGCGTTAAAATGAGTCAAAATCTTGTTCAGTTTAGGATCTATTATAAGTTACAGCAGCGCAACATAAGAATCGTTTTTTGTGAAATTTCTGACAAGGAGAGCATGTTTAGTCAAAGTGACCTTGCTAATTTCAAATCTGTCTTCCTTGTTTGCAGGACGTTTATGGACGAGGAATTACGAGTGCTTGTTGAAGAAAAAAAATAGAATGTGCAAGTGGGATAAAAATAGCGAATACTTTTTGTAGCTTTTCAATGGAGCAGTGACAATCATCAGAGCATTTTATGCAAAAATGCTCTGATATAAAAATGTGTCACACCTGACTGTGCTTCCGATCACGCCCATGACTCCTGGTCCACAGACGTTTTGCACATAAGAAAGGCAGGTTTGGAATTAACGTTTTCATGCCTTTCAATATGGTATACACTCCATTTAGAAAGGCGACTCCGACTGAACAAGCTTCCCTTGTGAGCATTGTTGTACCTTACCACTTGCAACAACGTAACAACTATATTTCGTACTTACAGAAAGTAGATGTATTTTGCTATCCTAATGCTTTGTAGAGTGGCAGCACAGGCTGTCACATGTAATATGAAAGATCCCACAAAACGTAAGACAGCACGAATTGCATCTTGCGTATTGCAAGTACGCTTATGGCTACGATAAAAGGTTGCAATTTAGCGACAACAAATACTATGTTTTTGAAGGTTTAGAACCGGACAATATGAATTGCGTGGAGACCGCTAGATTTGCGTGTGCTCCTGATGCCGGTGAAGGAGCATTACTAAACTTGTTAAAATATCGGAATGAGAAGTAAATGTTTGAGAGCAATGTTGATGAGGTATCACATCGGATTTACCAAATATTTGTAACTAGCTGATAGCCCGGCCTCATCCGAGGCTCCAAATTAGTTTAGCTAACAAAATGTGTGAACTTACGCCTCTAAACTTCTTCAAACGTGCGCAAAAGGCGCTTTGAGACGACTTGCCGCATCCTCCCACTTTGAGATGGAAATGGACTCTCCCGCCCCGCTTACATGATTATGGAAAAATGATCGGTTGGAGCATGAAAAGTTTTCATTCTTCTAGATCTGAGTAAACAAATCAATAAATCGATAAAAGGGCCCAGTGAATCGCCGCGAAAAGTAGCTCTAAACTACCGCCGGGGTCGAAAACATATGCATGCAAAGTTTTAGCTCAATCGATTCAATGGCTGGCGTTTCTACGGAACGAACAACTAAACGAACATCCTCACAGACATTGAGTTTTATATATATATATATATATATATATATATATATATATATAGATTGAAAGGCTAACGATCCTAAGGTCCTAGGGTCGCCTACAGCTGGTCAAAGCAAATTCATTTGGATGCAAAATAGTCACTCAAATTACGATTTTATAACTAACTAGCTGGCTTACCCGGCTCCGCCGTATCCGGACCAAACTTGGCACACATACACTTCGGGCCCCGGCGCGTGTCACAGTCCACTTTTCGTTATCGATCGATGTCGATTTTACCGATTTTTATCGATTTTTTCGCAGAGTTCACCTACAGGGCTAGGAGTTGGCACAGGGGGGAAGTGAGCATGGGGATTCCGAATACAATATTAGTTTTCAGAATTATCGGTTACTTTTATTGATTTTATCGATTTTTTGTAAATTTTGACATGCGATGCTGGGATTTTGCACAGGGGGGTAATCGAGCATGCCGATTACGAACACAATATTAGTTTTCAGGATCGTCCATTACTTTTATCGATTTTATCGATTTTTTCGTAAAGTTTGACCTGCGGGGCTGGGAGTTTGCACAGGGGGGTAATCGAGCATGCAGATTACGAATACAATATTAGTTTTTGGAATTATCCATTACTTCTATCGATTTTATCGATTTTGCAAAATTTGAGCTAGGGGGCTGGAATTTGGCATAGGGGTGTAATCGAGCATGCTGATCACCCCCTTGGGGATGATCAGCATGCTCGATTACCCCCCTGTGCCAACTCCCAGCCCCCTAGCTCAAACTTTGCAAAAAATCGATAAAATCGATAAAAGTAATCGATAATCCCGAAAACCAATATTGTATTCGGAATCCCCATGCTCGATTACCCCCCTGTGCGAACTCCCAGCCCCGTAGCTCAAACTTTGCAAAAAAATCGATAAAATCGATAAAAGTAATCGATAATCCTGAAAACCAATATTGTATTCGGAATCCCCATGCTCGATTACCCCCCTGTGCCAACTCCCAGCCCCGTAGCTCAAACTTTGCAAAAAAATCGATAAAATCGATAAAAGTAATCGATAATCCTGAAAACCAATATTGTATTCGGAATCCCCATGCTCGATTACCCCCCTGTGCCAACTCCCAGCCCCGTAGGTGCACTTAGCAAAAAAATCGATAAAAATCGATAAAATCGATATCGATCGATGACGAAAAGTAGCCTATGACACCCGCCGGGGCCCGTAGTGTATGTGTGCCAAGTTTGGTCCGGATCGGTTCAGAAATGGAATTTTCTATTCGGAACATACGTACACACAGACATACATACAGACAGACAGACAGACAGACAGACAGACATACAGACAAACAGACATTCAGCTTTATATATAAGATAAAAGTAGCCTACAGTCCT